CTCTGCCTCTCTGCCTCTCTGCCTCTCTGCCTCTCTGCCTCTCTGCCTCTCTGCCTCTCTGCCTCTCTGCCTCTCTGCCTCTCTGCCTCTCTGCCTCTCTGCCTCTCTGCCTCCCTGCCCCTCTGCCCCTCTGCCCCTCTGTCCCTCTGCCTCTGCGTGCTGGGATTAAAGGCCACCACCGCCCAGTTTAGACTTTGTTTTTTAAGAGAAGAAGAAGCTGGACATAGTAGCACATGACTGTGCTACTGTTAATCCCAGGCTCAAATAGAAGGATTATTTCAATTTAGAGACCAGCCTGGGCTACATAGTAAGTCACAGGCTACTAGGTTAAACAGTGAAAGCCTATCTCAACTTAAAAAGAAAAAAAGGCAGCCAGGCAATGGTAATACTCACATTTAATCCCAGCACTTGGGAGGCAGAGGCAGACGGACTTCTGAGTTCAAGGCCAGCCTGGTCTACAGAGAGAGTTCTCTAACAGCACACATACAAACAAAGAAAAAACAACAACAACAAAAAAAATTAAAACACCAGAGGAGCCAAACATGGTGACAAGGGCCTGTAATCCTAGCACTTGAGAGATGGAGAGGCAGGACACAGAAGTTCAAGGCCAGCCTTGGCTATATGAGTTCCTGTCCAAAAAGGGGGTGCAGGGCATAGGGAAACCAGATGTGATTGCCTGTAATCCCAGCACTCTGAATGTACAGGCTAGCAGGAGTTCAAGGGCATCCTTGGCTACATAGCAAGTTAGAAGCCCACTTTGGCTACTCGACCGTTTGTTTCAAAAATGAAAATAAGTGAATAAATAAATAGAGCATTGGAGCCACCAAAGTCTCTTGAAACAGGAAACAGCAAGATCAGACTTGCTGTCCAGAGAAGTCATGGCAGGAGCTCAGGGCAGAGCTGGTACAGATGAACAGGGATGGGGGCTGGAAAGATGGTGTGTGCTTAAGAACACTAGCTGCCTGTCCAGAGGACTAGCGTTCAAGCTCACCATCCTCACTGGGTTGCTCACAACTCCCTGGAGCTCCAGTTCCATGGGGTCTGCCACCCTTTTCTGGCACATACACACACGGGGCACACACAAACACACATACATATTCACAAATGGGAAAATCAACTTTTAAAAGGGGGTAGGGATGGGGACTGGAGACATGTAGCCACTAAGGTGGTTAAGAGCACTTGTTGCCCTTCCAGAGGACGGAGGTTCCATTTCCAGCACACACATGGTGGCTCACAACCATGTGTAACTCCAGTTCCAAGAAATCCAAAGCCCACTTCTGATCTCCATGGCCAGTGATGCATAAAATAAATATATACTAAATAAATGCATAAAATAAATAGTTTTTAAAAAATGAACAGTAGATGCATCAAAGAAGTATCTTTTCAGTCATATGTGCACACAGGCATGCACATACATTAATATATGAAATTGCCGGGCATTGGTGGCGCACACCTTTAATCCCAGCACTTGGGAGGCAGAGGCAGGCAGATTTCTGAGTTCGAGGCCAGCCTGGTCTACAGAGTGAGTTCCAGGACAGCCAGGGCTACACAGAGAAACCCTGTCTCGAAAAAAAAAATTATGTATATGTATATATATATATATATATATATATATATATATATATGTATGTATGTATGTATGTATGTATGTATGTGTGTGAAATTAAAGATAATTGTGTAAAAGTAATCACACAGGAGTTGACACAGACAGATATCTGGATGCATATATCAGAGACAGGGGAGAAGAGGGGCGCATTATTGCAGAGCTAACCTTTTTCATAATAATCTGCCCTCTTTGCTGCTTGTTTAAATGAAAGAATAGACAAGAGGTGCATAACTTGTTGTTTGCTGTGCCGTAGCCTTGACTTTATAACCATGTCTGCAGCCCATGGTTCAGTCTTCATATACTGTAAAGAGTCTGGTCATTTGGGGCTAGAGAGATGGCTCAGTGGTTATGAGCACAGTCTGCTCTTACCGAGTACCTGGGTTCCACTCCCAGAACCTACATGATGGCTCACAACCCTCTGTAACTGTCACATGGGAACTGATGTCCTCATCTGGCCTCTTTGGTCATATCACAGACAAATAGTTGAATGAAATATTGGTAATGAAATATAAAATAAATATTTTTTTAAAAAAGAAAGAAAATCTAGTTATTGTCTTTTCATACTAGATCTTGCAACCCGAGAAACCAATTTTAGTTTTATTTCCATAAAAAATGGAAATTTTAATATAATTGATCATAAATTTTGCTACAATATACAGATATAAAACCCAACTAATTATAGATATGTTAGCATCATTATACATGATATATGCTTTTATCAGTGCTAAATTCTGGTAATTAAATTAATGAATGTATAAGGAGCCTTCTGGGTCTTTGGCATGATTTATGCAATGACGCCAGACCCTGGACTTAGCAGACTGGTAACATTTCTTCTGAAACTGAACAGCTTAACCTGTCTCCATTCTGTTTTACCAAGTAAGACCCTAAAACTGAATCAAACATCTGGTGTTTTGTTTTTGAGACAGTGTCTCACTGCAGCCCTGGCGTGGCTGGAACTCACGATGTAGACCAGGCTGCCTCTGCCTCCTGTTAGTCTATATCTTTACTATCACCATTAAGATAAAAGTTAAATTTCTTGATGTTTAATTTTCACGTGATAAAAAGCACTCATGTGAGAGAGAAAATAAGAGTAAGGTCTTTCAGAACAGTTTGGGGAAACTTGATGGTTGCCGGTCTCTCTTTTGTGGTTTAGTGACTCATCAGGCTGCTCTAGAGAAAGACATTTGGGACTGAAAGGGGGAATCCTCTCAACACAAAGGAAACAGAACTCCAGCCTTTGAGGATCTCTGGGCCAGAGAGCAGGCAGTGGGAGAGAGAGCAGCTAGGGCCGTGCTGTGGAGGTGGGGCAGGGTGGAGCCTTATGACTGGCGACCTCCTGCCAATCAGCTCTGTTTGTTTATTCCTTTGTCTGTTCTGTTTAGCCTATCAGCTCATCACTGTGGTGATCGCAGCAGCAGGAGGTGGCCTTCTGCTCATCCTGGGCATCGCACTCATTGTTACCTGTTGCAGGTGAGTGGTGTGACCTCTCTCATTCAGTTCCCCCTTTCATCACTTGTGCTATATGAAGGTAGATTCTTAACCTAGCACTTGGGAGACTGAAGCAGAAGAAAAATGGCTCTGAAGACAGCCTGGGTTTATAGCAAGTTCTAGGTAAGCCTGGGCTACATAGTAAGACCCTGTCTCCAAAGCACCAAAACTAAATAGATAACACAATCAACAAAATAAAAAGGTGAATTAGACTTTATCAAAATGGAAAACTTAACAAACGCTGGTGCTGAGGACGTGGCTTGGTTAGTAGATCACTTGCCTAGCATGTGTGAAGCCCAGCGCTTGCTCTGTAGCTACGAGGCATGGTGTTGTCCTCCTAAGATCCCAGCCCAGGAGATAAAGGCAAGAGGAATCAAGAATTCAAAGTCATCCTTAGCTCTAAAGCAAGTGCAAAGCCAGCCAGGAATACAGGCAACTGTGTGGGTCACACACATCTTTAATCCTGGCACTCAGGAGGCAGAGACACTTGGATCTCCTTGAGTAAAGGGCAACCTGGTCTATGTAGTGGATTCTAAGTTCCAGGACAGCCAGGGCTACACAGCAAGAGTATCTTAAAATACATAAATAACAGAAAGTAAGAAATGCTGATGAGAATGTGGCAGAATTGGAGTCCTTATGCATACATGGCTGGCAGGGACAGAAGGAAGTAAAGCGGCTTTGAATGTCTAGTGAGCCCAGGACTCCCGGTCCCAGGGGATGCCTAAGAAGGTTACAGCATATCCACACAAGAATTTGGACCCGTCTATTCACTTCTGTTCCTGAGAGTCAAAGGGGGAGCAATCTTAGCACCTATGGGCTGACAAATACAAAACCCAGATGTGACAGAGAGCCACATTCTGTCAGCCACTGACTGACACACAGGTGGCCCTTCAAACCCTTGTTCTCAGTGAAATGAGGCATCTCAGCCATCATCTGGGGTGGGATCGGAATATGAGTTATTAAAGTCTCTGCATCTCATAGAGACAGAAAGTAGACCAGTCAGAGTCTAGGGCAGAGGTCAGGGTGGAGAAGTTGGGCGACCGGGGATGATTGCTAAGGGGTCTGAGACTTCTGGGGGTGCAAGGTCATCTTAAAATTGGGATGATGGTTACACCACCGTTAATATGTTAAAAATCATCATATGAGTAAATTGTATGGTTTCGTCAGTCGTCTCTCAGAGCTGTGTATAAAGAGAGAAACAAAGATAGAGCAAGGGAAGGAGATGCCTGAACTATTTTAGCAGTAAAAAAAAATGGGAGCATTTTTGGATGAACCTCAGTTCCAGGCTTCCTGCCATGGAGTTTCCCTGAGAAAGGAAGAGAAAGAGAAAATGAATCCCCTTTGTCTACAATTACCTGTTCAAGTAAAGGAACACTATAGTCATTGATTTAGATGATATACGAAAAGAAATATTTGTACGTGACAGATGGGGGGACCTTTCCAAAATCACTAGTTATCTTATTGTGCCAGTGTTAAAAGGACATTTTAAGTCATCTTCTGCCTCCAGGAAGGCTGCCAGGAATAGTCTACTGTAAGCACCCACTCAAGAGTACAGCCTTTAAGTATCCCTTCTTAGATTACCATGAAAGATAAGCATGAACCCATTGAGGGCGTTCCCCAGAACAGCTGAGGGCACATGGGCCTTGCATTGGCAACAGTCTCTACCATTTTAGGAGGGAACCTGGACTCTTGGTTTCTGAATGGGAAGCGGTGGCAGCCCACTCTGAGCTTGGAGGAAGCCAGCACTGAAGGCTGAATCATTTCTGTGCCTTTTCCCAGGAACTTAAAGTATGGGAGAAGGAACAATGGGACTTCAGAGTCTCTTACTCAGAGCAAATATAATAAAGCATTTCTGATCCTCGGCCCACAAGACGGGTTTAAGGAAGATGTCTTAACCATATCTAGGCCGTAAAACCTCCCAGTTTCTGAGCACCTGAAGTGACAACGTGGAGAGTCTGTAAGCAGGTGGCCCCACTGAGGCTTCTGTGGTTTGTAAGGTTGTAAATAAAACTGTGGCTGGGGAGAGGAAAGGCCAGCTCCATCCCAGGTCTCCAGTAGCCGCAGGTGAGCCAGGGGCTAAGTGTTTCTGAGCCAGAGCCACCCTGTAGTCTGGCTCCCCATTCTGGAAACCCAAGAGCGGCACTGACATTTCACCTGTAGCTTCTGATAGTTAACCACTATTGAGTGCCTTTCCCTCCATAGTCTGTGAAGGCTGATTCCTGTTTCCCTGGCTACCCCAAGGGCACAGTGCCCTCTGTTCCCAGAGGACGGGACTCTTAACAGCTCCTCAAGGATCCTGTTGTCTTTACGCCCCTTTAGGCTCTTTAAGTTGAGAAATCTTTTTTGCATCTTTTTTTGGATGGCAGGGAGACTCCTAATGGCAGTTTTCGTTTTTTTAGTCAAATACTAAATTATACTAGGTTCCTGGTCTCATTTACATTGCAAAACACACTCGGTCTTGTTGAAGATGTCATTTCCTGACACAACTTACTGATAGAATTTGTTGCACAATTTTTTTTTAAATTCTCACAGAAAGAGTAAAAATGACATAAGTAAGCTCATCTTCAAAAGTGGGGACTTCCAAATGTCCCCATACGCCGAGTACCCCAAGAATCCTCGCTCACAAGAGTGGGGCCGAGAAGCCATTGAGATGCATGAGAACGGAAGCACCAAAAACCTCCTGCAGATGACAGACGTGTACTACTCGGTAGGTGTCTGTGGCAGCCAGCCTCAGGGCCCCAGCTCAGGGATCACAGCTAAGGCTTCACAGAAATAGTGGCGTAAACCTCTAAGACACTGCTTATTTACTGTTCGGTTTAGCTGTGGCCTAGTTGCATGGAGTCTTTCAGTGTGAGTGTGAGGGACAGGTGCAGGGTAAGTTACTTTTGGGGAGTGGGAGTTGTAATTCCTAAATTTGCTTTTAAGAATAGGAACAGAAACTGCAAATCGAGAATGTGGCTTCAGGCCTTTGCTCTCTCTCTGTCATCTCCTTTGCTATCTCACCTCAAGTGCTTTGTCAGTCAAAACTCAGGGCTGGGAAAGGCTTAGCAAGAGTGACTCAAGGTCATCTTCACCGTAGAGGTTTTAGAAACTCAGTAGGTCTTTAATAATTGGCTCCCCAGAGCCCAGGGCTACATCAGTGTGGAAGCTGGAACCTACTGTAAGCCAGTGGTTCTCAGCCTTCCTAATGCTGCGCGACCCTTTAAGACAGACAGTTCCTCATGCGGTGGTGAGCCTCCCCCAACCATACAATTATTTCTGTTGCTATTGCATGGCTGTAATTTTGCTACTGTTATGAATTGCAAGTATGTGTTTTCTGATGGTCTGAGCCATCCCCTGTGAAAGGGTCGTTTGACCCCTCAAAGGGGCGAGACCCACAGGTTGAGAACCACTGCCTTAAGCTTCTCCTGCCCCACACTGAAGACAGCACAGCTCTTATTTCTATTCCATTTGGAATAGTGGAAACTTTAATCACACCATGTCAGCCATAAAGCAGAGACGCAAATGGAGATATCTGAACCGAAAAATAAACAAATGTCAAATGACCGCTAATCAGTTTGCTGTGTGGCAATAAACCTGAGACCTTGCGCTGTGGAGACTTAATGGCACTAGTCATTTCACTATAGAAGCCATAATCCTCTGGTTGTTATGGAGATTAACCAGGAGGATCAGACTTTGGATGGGAGGGGCGGGTTTGTTCCAGTGTGCTCTTTGAAATTTTTCAGCCAGGAGGAAGAACAAGAAAAGTGGAGAAAATAAAGATGAAACTCACCTCTCTAGTTAAACTCTAGTTAAACGCCCCATTTCTGAACAGACATTGGCTTTTCCTTTCTGTCAGGGACATGTTTTCCCTTCCCTAACCGAAGCTGTACTAAGTGCATCCGAGTCCCACATGCTTTGCTAGGGACTCCTCAGCCCTGGTGTGGTGTGGTGTGGTAATTAATAGCAAACAAGCAGGCTATCTCCCATGACCAAAAAGAAAGTTGGGGAGGAAAGGGTTTGTTTGACTTACACTACCACATTACCAAAGGAAGTCAAGACAGGAACTCAAACAAGGCAGGAACCTGGAGGCAGGAGTCAATGCAGAGGTTGTGAAGGGGTACTGCTGCTTACTGGCTTGTTTCCCCCTGGCTTGCTCAGCCTGCTTTCTTATAGAACTCAGGACCACTAGCTTAGGGATGGAACCACCCACAGTGGGCTGGGCCTTTCCCCATCAATCACTAATTAAGAAAATTCCTTACAGCTGGATCTTATGGAGGCATTGTCTCAATTGAGGTTTCCTCTTTTCAGATGACTCTGACCCAAAACTAGCCAGGACAAGTCCTGTCTTCCCTTTATAGAAACAGAACCTGAGTTTAGAATGTGATGCTGTCACCTGAGTGCCACTGTCTCTCACAGTGGGCACAAAGTGGTCCAGGCATTGCCACACTGGCTCTCGTAGGTATTGTGTTTATAATGCACACTCTCTGGTATTTTACCTCTACCAAAAAACCATTTATCTCTGATGTATGAGAACTTTCCAGTGAAGCCTTTACTATTGCTTCAGATACCTGGCCTGGATATTTTTTTTTAAACTCCTTTTAAAAATAAAGCTAAAATCCCTGCCAGGTGTAATGGTACATGCCTATAATCCCAGGATATGGTAGGAAGAGGTAACAGACACACATGCAGGCAAAACACCCATATACATAAAATAAAATCCAGAAAAAATAATTAAAATAATGTTTTAAAAGAAGGAGATTGTGGGGCTGGAGAGATGACTCAGCAGTAAAGAGCACTGGCTGCTTGTCTTGAGGACCCAGGTTCAATTCCCAGCACTCACATGGCAGCTCTTTCCAGTTCTAGTGGATCTGCCATCCTCTTCTGGCTTCCCAGACACTGAATCCTTGTGGTACATACACATAGCTGCAGGCAAACATGTCCATATACATAAGAAAAGAAAGAAAAGGGAAGGGACTTGGAGTTCCAAGTCACCAGGAACAGATAGCACCACTATTCACCCTCCCTTTTTCCCTCCCCGCTTTATCTGAATACATAAATTGACCTGTATGCGCTGTGCTTCTGGGTGAGACAGTGCTTTGCTATTTATGGATTGCCCCATTTACGTTAATTAAAATGTAATGTCCAGGACTAATTGACTTCTCTCCTTTTCCCATTGGCATCCAGCCCACAAATGTAAGGAACCCTGAACTTGAACGCAACGGACTGTACCCAGCCTACACTGGATTGCCCGGATCGAGGCACTCTTGCATTTTCCCAGGACAGTATAACCCATCTTTCATCAGCGACGAGAGCAGGAGGAGAGACTACTTCTGAGTCCAGGAGACAGAGGCGCCCCACTTCTCTGAGCCGTTTCCCCAGACATCTGGCTCAGAGGACTACACCTGAAGGGAGCACCATGCACTAGCTGCTCCTGGGACTCGTCAGAGCCGTGTCTGAGGGGTGTGACCACAGTGGAAGGGACAGACGGACGCGGGACTGCAGACCACCCATTCAGCACTGTTGCTGCTGTGAACATGGTCATGGGCCAGTTCCGAGTCCCTGAGTGCCTGGCATGTAGGACTGAATGTCTTCCACAGCAGAGCATGAGGTTTCATTTCCAGGACCCAGTCTCCCCTTAATTTGCACTTTAATAGATTGGGCAGGGAGGCTTCATTTTGGACACATTTCCAGACTATTCCAGAAAGCCTTTCTTTCCTAGGATACTTCCACAGGCCTCAGTTTGGTGACTGGTTGGCAGCCAGGTGCTGGCACTTCTGTTTTCCTGCCTGGTGCCTCGTGCTAAACAACAGAGGGAGGTAACTGTACCACTGTGATGAGGCTGCCTAGCGGTGCTGCAGTCAGGCACTTAGTGTTTTAAGGTTTGTCTGTGCTCACTCCCAAGCCAATGCCACAAATGAGCTGGTGACATTCACAAGGCTTAGCACAAAACGGTTTTTAAGTCAAGGTGACACATTTGCTTACAATGTATTAGTTTTACTTTCCCGAGCAAGTATGAGTCAGGGCAAGACAACAGTCCTTTGACTTTCATTAGAAGCATCCAGGTGCCCTTAGTATGTCCCAGCAGGCAATATCAGGCAGGTCCTACATGTGGTGGGGTTATTTTTTGACCCATGAGGGAATTGCATGGGGCCTGGGGCTCTGACCATCAACGTGGAGCCAGAGTCTGCAGGGTGTAGTAGAAGGAGGAGAGGCAGTTACAAGTGTGTCTGAGCTAGTCTCACCTCCGGAGGGAAAGAAGTCTGCTGTAGGCCCCACAGCAGAATGTGGCAGAGGAATGAACCGAATAACCTGACACATCCCCCGAACCCCAGTGCAGAAGCTGGGGGCTCTCCCAGGAAGCCACCAGTAAGGGTGTATACCTGCCAGTCTTTGAACCCATAATGTTGTCCACAAACTCAATGGAAACTTTTAACCACTAAAGCTATTTATTCACTGAAAAGAGAATGAACTTTTTTTTCTCTCACCCAGTCATTGATACATCTGTGTTCTCGTGCAGTGTCCCCTCAAGACTCCACTATGGCCTGAGTAAGCTTTGAGGAACTAAAACCTGGCCAGCTAAGAGTCTGAGAGCTTGTTTGGGGGAAAAGGAAGTTCTATGTTTTGTTTATTGTATTGTGATATCCTGGGGGGAGGGAGAGGGCTGTGTGGTGTTTGGTCCCCTGTGGAACTATCAGCTTGTGGGATGTCCTGGTTTTGGATGAGGTGAAGAGGTCAAAGCATTATCCCCACCCTGAAGCTGGGGACTCTGCAGCATATATTTCTGGAAATGGGACAGCTGTTGGAAATTGTTCTGTATGTGTTTCTTTGGAGTTCTCTGGTTCCTCCGAAATTTATGAAGGTCCCCATCCTCTTAAGTGTGCACTGCGTCCCATGGTCTGGTGACATGTGTCACCACTGAACTGTCACCACTCACTCTCACCCCCTACAGCAGTCGGGTACAGAGGATTTTAACCATGTTATATTCATTAGTACAGAGAGGATTCTGCTGTTCTTGGTTGATGCTGACTTAAAGTTGTAAAGCACTGCCATCTAGAAGCTGTGGGTCTTGTTTGTGTCTATGTGTGGAACCAGTGGCTCCTTGTGTCATTGTGAACCCTGTGCTCCGCTTGCCTGAGCCCAGATCCCTTGCCAGGTAGCCAGGTTCTAGCCCTTCCAGCAGTATTCCTGCTTGTCCCAAGCCTCATTGCTGTGGGAAGTGCCAGTGTGGTGGTGTTCCCAGACACACTTCTAATGCTTTCAGCTGTCAGCATAGCTGGTGAGCACCTGTGTAAGGGCAGACTCCCAGCTGGTGAGCACCTATACAGGGCCTCAAGCCTCACAGAATGAAGTGCTCTGTTCCTGGGAAGAATTCATCCAGAAAAGTGTCCTGTGAGTTCCCAAACATGTTTGCTGACTCATGAGTTTGGCCCAAATAGAGCAGAGTGAAAGTGTTTTTGTTTTGTTCTTTTTTTTTCCTGTGAAAAACACAAGGATAGCCCCAAACAAGGGTGCATTCACACTGGATCTACCGTTTGTGGGTGGGGGAGGAGCTTGCGATAGAAAGGCTCTCCTACTCGGGGTTACAACCAGAAGGAATCCAGAGAGGACACCAGCAACCCATGAGCTGGACAAACAGGATGAGCCCATGGTTGGACATGCAGAGTCTTTGCTGGACAAAAGTGCTCAGAGTCGTCCCCACACCTAGAATGGATAATTCCTGCGAATAGACGTGTCGCCGTCTTGAATTAGGGTTTCATGATAAGGGAAGTGGGCAGAAAGGAAAAGCCACACTGCCTAGGAGATGTTTGTATGGGGAAGATCCAGGTCAGGTAGAATTTGTCTATCCTGAGACATTTGAGAACAGAGCTAAGAAAGGGGGTCTTCCTGGATCCAGCCTGAGCTCTGTATAAATTCCAAGGGTTTTTTTGTTGTTGTTTGTTGTTTGTTTTTCTTTTTTCGCTTCATGAGCCGGCTCATGACACTGGGGCCTATTTCTTAGGAGGATAAATGTTCTCACCATGGGCCAGGCTCCATGCAAGCTATCTGGCCTTACAGTGTGTTAGCCAATAATGCGCACGCGTTTAGGCAAGAGGCATGGGAATGTAGCTTCGATGGCAGAGTGCTTGCCTAGCCCTGGGTTTTATCCTCAAGAACCACAGAAACAGGGCGTAGTGGTACACTCTTGTAATCTCAGCCCTCAGAAGGTTGAGGCAGGAAGATCAGGAGTTGAAGGCCTTTCTGGAGAACAGGACACCCTGTCTTAAAAGGAAAATATTGGCTGGTTTGTGGTTAGCAAGAGGCTTAGTCCCTCAGAAGTGAAAGGATGTGGTCTAGGTAGGTTTTTGACAATCACAACAAGGCTGAGGCACCCATGAGAGGGCTGCCTGTCTTATTCTTAGAGTGAGGCCGTAATTCCCACGTAGTAGAAGTGTGAACCTGTGTGGGATGGGGACAGAGTTGAGTGTCTGAGGTACCGAATGATCTTCCTAATTGGGGAGGTTGCTTTTAGAAGCATCTAAGCCATGTTGAACCAGAACTACTGTATGCTGCCTGGTGGTATTTGAGGTCAAAGACTAAGAGTTGACTATTAGACTATTATGGTCTAAAAGAGGAAGTCGTAAAAGTTGGCCCATAGGAGAGAGCAGCGTTGTTGGAAAAAGACGGGAGTAAAGTCTCCCAAGATGCTGTCTATTCAATTGTGAAGTTCCAGAGTGGGCACACTAGCATCACCCCTGGCACGTGGCTTTTGGGTGCCTCCTAAAGCCACTTTGCCCAGTAGTGACGTGCACAGGTCTCTAGAACTATGGAGCTTTGCCTAAAGCAATAAAACTGCACAGCTAAGTTGCCCTTGGCTTAGTGTTTCATAAGCCACTCAAAACCAGGGCCTTTACCCACATTTCTAAATTTATATTTTGCTTTTGAGACCAAAGCACTTCTTTGGGAAGAAGGACAACACAAAGTTTTGTATTTTGGTTTCTTATTTAAAATACTCCATCACAGCAGATAGACAGGTTTACCTACCTGACAGCTTTTTTCCTCTTCTGCTTCTTTGAGAGGGTAGAGTCAGGAATGGACCCCAGGGCCTCGCACATACCAGACGAGGGCCGTCCTGTAGAGCTGCACACCCCAGCCGTCTCATTTCTCCTTGACATTGTCATTCCCAGGTTCTCACCAGCATGTTTGGATACGGAAATGGTTCTGTAGTTTGGTGTTCTTTCTTTTCTTTTCTCAAATCCCCAGAGGGGAAAACACAGTAGGCACATTGAAGTTAAAATAATAACTTTAAACTTTTTTTAAAAAAATAGCTGGTTAACATAATAGGAGCATTAAAGCATTACATGCCAATCAGTTCATTGTACTTCAGAGTCTCCACAAGGTCACACCCCCTTTATAGCTGATGGAAACTTTAGCCTGCACAATAGCCTGTAAAACCAAAGGAGGCAGGTCCGACCTGTCCGTCACATGGGCATCTTCAAAGAGAACATTTCCAGTGGGGCCACCTGGTAGATTCTGCTATAATTTTAAATGATGGGCTCAATGTCCTTGTCCCAAATTGTTGAGGACAGGGTAAAAATAGTGGTGGGTTGGAGGCAGTTTGTCAGGAGAACTGAACCAACTTCCTTAACTTTGGGCATTACCTAGGCCTACTCTACAGAGAAACAGATGGTTCACCATGAGTCGCTGTGAATTTTGGTCACGTATGTGTGTTGTTGGTGTACAGTTAAACGGAGATGAGGCTACAGTACGAACTCCGTTCCGTTTGTCCTGGATTTTGTTCTATACACCTTTAATGCTGACACCCTGGTTGACTGTGTGAGACTCATCATGAGAATGTTATTTAAAGTTGTATTATAATGTCACCTCCACTAATTATTCAGTACTGTAGTAGCAATGTATTATTTGTAAGAATTTGGTTATTTTTATACTTATATCCACTCTAAGTCTGGCGTTCTAGTCAGCAAACAATGATGCAATAAAATTAGTAAGATTCCCATTGGTTTTCTCTTAAAACAAGCAAATGAGTGTGTAAGTGGTTTTGTTTTGTTTTGTTTTTACCAGTGCACCATTTAAATAGATGAAGTGAATAGTAGACTCTGAATGGCAATGGAGGCAATGAGTCACCTCTCTGTCCTCAGCACCCCAAAGCGAAGAAACACACTGTTGACAGATGAATGGGTGAGTGGATGGATGGATGGATGGATGGATGGATGATAGATGGATGGATGGATGGATAGGTGGATGGATGGGTAGGTGGATAGATGGATGAGTAGGTGGATGGATGGGTGGATAGCTGGCTGGATGGGTGAGTGGGTGGCTGGTTGGCTGGCTGGGTGGGTAGGTGGACCTAACTCAGCTGTAACACCCATCCACTCCCTAAATTGGAGAGCTAGGTCAGGCACTGACTGCTGCGTGTGCTCACTCCATACTAACTCCTCTTGTCTTGGAGATGGGACAGTAAATAAACATGTCTGAGAATCTATGGGACTTTTTAAAACCAGTTCATCAACCTTTCACATATGGTGGCCAAGAAGGTGGCTGTATGGCTAGATAAATGTTCACCAATTTATTCATTAATTGCTTTCTTGGAAGCCTTTCATATAATTTATGGGGGGAAAATCTTCCTACTAGTGGAAGCCAATAACCACAGCTTAAGGCATGAGAGCATCTCAGTCAGTCTGTAGCTCATCAAGCAGTTCTGGAGCTAGTGCCTTCTCTCTCTCTTACCCTCCTCTAACGGTCCCCAACTAAGGTCTCTCTCTCTCCCTCTCCCTCTCCCTCTCCCTCTCCCTCTCCCTCTCCCTCTCCCTCTCCCTCTCCCTCTCCCTCTCCCTCTCTCTCTCTCTCTCTCTTTCTCCTCTCTCCTCTTTCTCCTCTCTCTTCCCCCTCTCTCTGGAATTTTGAGACAGGATTTTACTGTATAGCCTGGCCTTGAACTCAAAGATCCGCCTCCCTCTGCCTCCTGAATGCTGGAATTAAAGGCATGTACCACCCAGCCCTTCTCTTTTTTAATGATAAATAATATTCATTATATACATCTATACCAGTTTGTTTAGCCATTGGTCAGTGGACACTTAGGTTATTTCTAAATCTTGGCTTCTGAGACTAGTGCTACATTTTGATTACTGTTTCAAAGCCAAGATGGACGTCTTATGTTTCATCAGGTGGCCCTGCACAGTCAGCCTACTTGAGCCTCTCCCCCAGGGTCTGGTTTGCTGGGAAGGAAAGTTTTTCAAGCATCCTAAGACTCAGCCTGAAGACTTCTATACTTGCAGTCACCCGTTTTCCAGTCTCTTGGGGAGCAAAGGTCAGATGTGTAGTGTCGTGATCATCCTCGGGCAGAGTCCTCCTGTGTTGGTAGGTAATGGCTGTGGCACTTGCAGCACTGATAACGGCCTTGTGACGTCACGAAGCTCTTGGCACAGTAAACAGAAACTTCAGATTAGAGAGATGAAGCAATAGTGAGAGTATCTGCTGACTTTTAGACTTTATATAGTCATTCTACAGTATAAGGCTTTCTTCTCTACTTCTCTGCTGTTTCTTCCCAGATCGCCATGACAGGCCCGAGTCTAACCCACTGTCTGAACCTGCCCCCCCTCAACATAAAGGACCAGTTAGCTCAGCCTTATAACTGGAGACAGACAGCAGAACAGTCTTGTCATATATTCTATGCTAAGGGCTTGCCCCACAACTTGGAAGCAATTACTAAAGTAAATATGGATTAGTGGGAATCATAAAAAGTACATTAAAATCAAAGGCCCTGGGCATGGTCACTTGTGCCTATAATCCTAGAGGTTGAAGCAGAGGGATGACAGGAAGTTTCTTAAGTGGCTAGCCTGGACAAACTGCGGTGCCTAGCAAGGAATTATCTCAGAGAAAAAGACTACCAGACACATCTAACCTGTGGTCCATGAAGCACATACATCCCAGGATAGCTATGAAGGCAGCCCAACACATTTGTAGATGAAACATTGCATTCCAGTGGGAATAACATGTGGAGCATGGAATAACTATGCAATTGAGTATCACTGAAAAAAATTATAAGGAACAGACTACTATAATAGGGAGAGATGTGGGGGCTGGAGAGATGGCTCAGTGGTTAAGAGCACTGACTGCTCTTCCAGAGGTCCTGAGTTCAATTCCCAGCAACTACATGGTGGCTCACAACCATCTGTAATGGGATCTGATGCCCTCTTCTGGTGTCTGAAGACAGTGACAGTGTACTCATATCAATAAATACAAAAAAGTGAGAAAAAAGAAAAGAAAGCTGGATGAGCTGGAGACGTGGCTGAGCAGTCAAGAACACTCACTGCTCTTGGACCTGGGTTCTATTCTCAGCACCCACATGGCAGCTCACAACTTCCTGTCACTAAGGGATTTGATGCCCTCTTCCGACCTATTTGGGTTCCTACATGCATGTGGTACATAGACATACATAGACACAAAACTGCATAAATATATTTTTATGCTCAACAAAAAAGCCTACACACCAAGTCCATTTATAGTGCATTCTGGAAAGGATAAAACCATAGAAAGTAAAAGAGTGATTGACAGAAGGTTGAAAGGAGACTTTCCAGTCACCAAACCTCTCCAGTACTCCCTTCCAGTCCCATGGTAGCATGCCCCTCCTCAGCCCTTTACAGGGCCCACTTTGGCTAAAGACATGAATTAAAGTGAAATGTGTCACTTCTGAAAAAACACTTTTAAGAATTAGTATGTAGGGCTAGGTGCAGGAGGCAGAGGCAGGTGGATCTCATGGGTTCAAGGTCAGGCTGAGCTACACAGCAAGTATCATGAGACCACTTAAGAAACACAGAATTGCTTAATGTCAGAAACACATTGCAAAGCTGGTGGAGTTTCAACAAAAACTTCCAAGAACAAAAACAAAAAAAATCAAATAAAAAAAGCCAAGCCTAGTAGCATAAGCCTGTAAACCTTTCTACTCTGGAGTCTGAGGCAGGAGGACCGCAGGTTCAAGGACAGTCTGGGCTCTACAGTGAATTCCAAGGCTAGCTCAAGAATTTAAAAAGTCAAAAAGAGTTGGAGGTATAAGTGGCTGTGTACCTAATGTGCACAACTCCCTGGGTTCAAATCCCAGCCCGAGCAAGTCAGAAACATGTACTTTGTGGTCAGCATTTGCTCCTATGTGCGGAGCTTTGGGTGTTTTTGAGTAAAAACAATCTCAGTTTGAAACTCACCTATATTGTTTATTAGCACTGGGGCCTTAATGAATTTCTTAACTAATCCAGCCTTTCACTTTCCTGTGCTAATCTTACCAGGAGAGAATAAGATCACAACCAAAATTTTTGAGCCAAATTTGAATCAAGCTTTATTAAATCCTGGCCATAGTGATGGACACTGGTCAGGTCTGTATTCTAGATTCCCAGAGAATGGCCTTGAAATTACATTAGTCAGGTGCTTATAAAGGCAGAATCCATAAGGCTTTGTACTTCTCACCTTTGTCCAATGAGGGGCAAGCATACATCCTGACATACTTCCTGACTACATACCTCCTACCTACATGTGATCAAGCACATCCTGTGCAGTTGGGGCAACCAACCTTGTTTACAGAAGTAAGAACATGTGGCTTGTATATGAGCAACAGCACCTAGCATCCCTGGAAGTTATCTGTTCTTGGCCATGTGGAACTTATGAGTTAAAAGCATTTTTTATTTTATAAATCTCTCAAACACAATCATTTTAACTTAAAACATAACTTTAGCCCTCACACCCGATGTATACTAGAAGAAATGATACAACCTAGTTCAGAGGTAAATTAAAGGATTAAATTAAGATATCCTGCAGAGGCAGGAGGATCTTTGTGAGTTTGAGCCAACCTGATCTTCATAGAGAAACATTGTCTCCAAAAACAAACAAATAAAGAAAACATTTTAAAGACGATCCAAATGACAAAATGACAGAGTGCATTTGAGAAGATTCTGGATCGGGGATGAATCAAACATTGAATAAATGTATGTTAGGCTTCGAGGCAGATGTACTTGGAGCAGCTGTCTTATAATAGAAAAATCTAGAATGTTGATTCTTCTGGTGTTCCCTCCTACTTCACAGCTGAGCAAACCCTACAGTAATGTGCTGTTACTCTGATACAGTGACCATCCTCAATTAAGTAGGATTTGTACTGGATGATACATCACTATTTAATAATCTACATGGGACCCAGTCTTTATTTAACCTGCTGATAAGGAATCGGGAAACAAAGTTCTTGCTGTCTTATTCCTCACTTTGTGATTAGTTGGTTCATATCTTGTCCTTTCCAATTCTTTTCTAAATTCCTCAGGACCTGGTGTGGTCTTTGTAACCCCTGTAACACACACCACCACCACCACCCCACACACACCCTTCCCACACACCCCATGTGAGCAGCTCCCACTTCCCCCATAGCATCAGAGAAGCCAGCTAGCCCAGAATTTTCAATCCTGCCAAGAGGAAACTGGGGGACTAAATAAGTAGAAGTTACAGTGAGACAGAGGGCAAACATATAAAATTGATGAGGACCTCTTTGTTGCTGTTTTTTTTTTTTAAGCAAAATTTGTGCTCCGTTTCAACGTTATCTTGTTGTAAGGAGATAATCTCCCTTCTATTTTTTTGGTTATAGAAATGCCTGTATGTTATGAAGTAGTTCTATCACTGGGTTTTACAGGATAGAGAAAGAGAACCAACTCTTAAAAGTGTTCTCTGGGCCGGGCGGTGGTGGTGCACGCCTTTAATCCCAGCACTTGGGAGGCAGAGACAGTCGGATTTCTGAGTTTGAGGCCAGCCTAGTCTACAGAGTGAGTTCCAGGACAGTCAGGACTACACAGAGAAACCCTGTCTCAAAAAAAAAAAAAAAAAAAAAAAAAAAAAAAAAAAAGGTGTCCTCTGACCTCCGCTTTTGAGCCATGGCATGTGTAGCTCTTCACAGGCAAAAATAAACAAATATAATAAAAAGAAACATTTGTTACATATATAGATGCTACACAGTATTTGCTAAATCAAGACACTGTGATGTTCACACCTTGGA